GTATATCGAGTCTCCTGATGTGGAAAAAGAGGTGAAGCGTCTCCTGAGCACAGATGCTGAAGCCGTCAGTGTCCGTATCCTTTTAAAAGAAAGAAGCTCAAGTGGGGGACAGGACACTGTGTGGCCTGGGAGTTGTGGAAAGGAGAAATAAGTTCAGCTTTGTGTGGGTGTGAGAGACTAGGAGATAAGCACAAAAGAGGCACTGAAGTTTTGGAACTTCATCTTTGCCTTGTTCAAAGCTCATGGTTTCTTCATGGTGACCTTCCTTGCAGACTGAACTATTGTACTGAGCAGGAACTTGAGTAACAGCAGAAGAGGAGTCATCAAAAAAGGGAGCTGGGGTGGTTCATCCTGGATATCCATAGCTGCAAGGCCAGACTTGTTGAAGGAGCAGTGATCTCCTCCAGTTTTTAGCATTCTTTCATCGTACTGCATCTTTCGTGTTCCTTGTTTTTCCTTGACTCGTGTGTTCCTGCTGTCAGGCTGGGAAGTCATTGCTGAAGATGAAACAAAAGAAGCAGACAACCATGGTTCGCTCACCAGCCTGGACATCTCCTCCCCCGGGATGTCGGGACATAAGCAAGGCCATGGCTCCTCAGGTGCAGTGGGGAAGGCTGTTGTTTTTTTTCTAGCCACTAAGTAATCAGTCGGACCCATTCTCTCTAGGGTAAGACCTAACCAGAGCAGAGGAGAGAGGGCATTGAGACACGCACCCTGTACTGATGGTGGTCCCCAGCAGTGAAAGGGTGCTGGGAGGTCATCAGCTGTGTTTTTCCTCTTCCCTTTTGCAACCCCCTAGAACATGATGAACTACGGGAAATATTTAATGACATCAGCAGCAGCAGCGAAGATGAAGATGAGAGGGATCATCATGATGACGAAGACCTGAACATCATGGACGCTGAGGAGGACTTGGAGAGGCAGCTGCAGGACAAGCTCAATGAGTCCGATGGGCAGCAACAGGAGAATGAGGGGTCCAACCAGATAGGTGAGTGGGCAGCAGAGTGCAGCAGAATCACCAGGGTCCCAGGCAGGCTGTGCTGCCCAGCTCTGCTGCTGCTCTGGGTCCAAGTTCACTCTCTCTTCCAGTCATGGGGATCCAGAAACAGATTGACAACCTGAAAAGTAAACTCCAGGAGACCCAGGACAGGAGGAAGCGCCAGGAAGATCTCATCATGAAAGTGGAGAACCTGGCTCTCAAGGTGAGAGCTCTCCTGGGGTCTCTTCAAGTCTTCTGCTTAGCACTGGCTTGCCGTTAGATCCAGCAGACTGATTCAGCTGCTGCCATGAAAAAGCCAGGAGCCTTTGCCTGCTGGATTAAAAATAATTGGGGTGTGACCATACACACTCCAGCATTTCCCTATGGAGGCAAAGCAATCCATGAAACCGCAGGAGACAAGGGGGCTGGTTGTCAGTGCAGCTTGGGGCTTGCCTGCACCATTTGACATGTTATGCCAGTTCCAGCTGAGAACACATTGATAACTGTGGGCTGGCACGTTTGTCTCTGCAGACCCGTCTCCAGGCCGTGCTGGATGAGTTCAAGCAGCAGGAAGAGCGAGAAAAGCAGCAGGTGAGGAAACTCCCACAGTGGAGCAGGAAGGACTGGGGCACGACACGGTTCTAGGCTTGACCTCTGACAGAGTTTCCTGAATCTTGTACCACACCAGCTGCTTTGAACTCCAGTGTTACAGGTCAGGTGTGGTTGTACCTCATCTGTAGTTACGTGGAGCTTCCTAAGGTATAAGGAGGTATAGGAAAGGGGATTGATCACAGCCTTCCTTCTGAAGGAGCGGTGAGCCAAAACATGTCTAGTCAGCAGCCTGAGGCTGCTAGGATTGCTGCCTGGGGTAAAACATGACACAAAGCCACTAGTACCCATCTACAAGAAGGCAGGACCTGCAGGGTCTTGGCAGATTTCCTGCCTGGGCAGCTCTGCTGGGTTTCAACCAGGTACCAAGGCAGGAGGTTCCTGTTGTGCAGCTTCGCCTTGTGGGCAGTGCTGAGTTCTGCCCCAGAGGTGCCCAGGCACGGCTCCCTGCCATGTGCAGGCAAAGCAGCCACTGGCGTAGGTGGGAGATCCGCCGAAAAACAGAACTCTTTGGCTGGAGCTGCCAGGAGTCCCAGCCGTGCCTTACTGTAATGCCTCGCTCCCTCTTCCCAGATGACGTCCCTGCAGGAGCAGCTGGAGTCCCTCATGGAGAAGTGAGGAACGAGCCTGGGTCTTTGTACCTACGAGCAGAGCTGGAAGTGTTGTTCATCTGCCACGCTGAAGTCTTCGCTGTAGTCACACACCTCTGCTGCCAGATGTGCCACCGGGCAGTGCTAGAGGTTCCGTGTCCAAAGCTGCTCTCACATACATCGTGCTGGGCTTGGCTAGTGGAACTAAAGAATTGGACTATGCCTGTGAGAGCAGCCAAAACACTGGATTTACTATAAATATTCAACAGCACCATTCTCCCAGAGGGGTTTAGTTCTCCCTGGGACAGTGTAGTGCATCTTTCTGCATCAGATCTTACTGAGTCTTGGACTTTGAGGGCTGTGGCCTGGTAGGAGCTTGTTCTTGTGTTTGAGGAATGCTTGTGTCTGCAAACGAGACGCAATAAAGTACTGTTCCCAACCCTGGTCTGTTCCTCAGTGGTCTCTGGAGCACAGACAAGCACTGTCTCTTGCCAGCTTGTGTCTGACCACAGGCAGCCCCTGGCTGGTGCTCGCGCCATCATTGCTGGGCTCCTTCACTGAAGTGCTCCTCGTGTGGCTGGGTCAAAGGGAGACTGCGTGTGAAGGGGACTCCGTGAGCTGTCACTCTGTGGGAGGAACGAGGCTCTCCTGATTAGGGAGTTTCTTTAATTCCTCACAGACTAGGCTGGCAAATCCCAGATTAACCTGGCAGGGTGGGAAGAGGATTAGAAAGGCAGTTCCAGAACACAACAGAGGGCACCGTGGGCTTCAGTGAGGCTGTGCCACGGCAGGACGTCCCTCTTGCACCCCGAAGGGCAGGAGAAGGGGAAAAGGCTTCCAAGCTCTGCCCCAGCACAGAAAGCAAAAAGCCAGTGGCACCCCAGGAGATGACATGTGTCTCCAGATAGTCAAGGAAGGGAGAGACCCTGAGGAAGGTGTGGAGCTCGACAAGGGCCAGAGCGTGCTCGTGTGCCTGTGATCTGCTCCTGGGGGCCAGTGGGAGCAGCCATGGAGGAAACCTACCTGCTGAATGTGGAAGGGGTCAAAAAGAAGATTCTGCATGGAGGCCAAGGGGAGCTGCCGAAGTTGCAGGATGGGAGCAAGGTAAGTCGTCTTGGTTATTATCCCAAAGCCCTAGGAGAGGGGAGTGGGTCCAACACTGCCATCCCTGCCCGTTACAGGACATGCTGAGCTCCGGGTCTGTGGTATGGGAACATCCCTCGCAAGGTGGGGGGTGTGGGGGTGGCAGGAAGGGCTGTTTTGGGCACAGGAAGCCACATTGCCCTCACAGTGACAGCTGACATTGCCGACTACCTTCATCTTGCATTGGTGCTGTTACTCACCTCCTCCCTCTGTCCTGGGGCTGTCGGAACTCAGCAGCCACGATGGGTTGCTGGAAATTTGCCGGGTTGCTGGAAATTTGCCTTTCCTGACGTGTCAAACAGGAGTCAGGTGTGCCAACAGGGAGCTTTTGCAGGTTTCTGAGATTCCCCAGCCCATGGGTAAGGGCGGATCAGTGTGGGTTCCATCAGGTCCTCTGTACTCGGTTATAAAGGGGGAGCCAAAGAGAGTAGCAAGATATAGCAGTGATGGGCGTTAAGACATTCCACCATCTGCTTGCTGTCTAAGATAAGTGGGTAGGAGGCACAATCTCCTGCTGCGGATGGAGAGCTGCCAATCAAACCAGCACCTCACTGGGAGCAGGCTTGGCCCCATGGCAGAGGGATTCGGGACTGGCAAGGGGATGGAGGGCTCTCACTGCAGTGCCTGCCCCGGCTCGACACTGAGTTTTCTCCGGGGCAGATCACCTTCCACTTCCAGACGCTGAAGGATGACTTTGAGCGGACAGTGATCGACGACAGCCGGGAAGCTGGCATCCCCATGGAGATCATCGTGGGCAAGATGTTCAAGCTGGAGATCTGGGAGACGCTGCTCAGCTCCATGAGAGCCGGGGAGGTGGCTGAGTTCTGGTGTGATGCCATCGTGAGTGAGGGGCCCACAGGCGCCCACTCCCCTCCTCTCTGCAGAGCCAGGGCACAGGACCATGCCCCCCAGAGATGCTCCAGCCTTGCCTAGTGCAAGCACAGGGAGCGCAGGTGTCACTTAGCTACAGCACCAGGGGGGCTGCCCAAGAGGGAGGGGGTGCAGCCTGGCCCCACGCGGCTGAGCGGGGTGCTCCCCCTCCTTGCAGCACACAGGCATGTACGCCCTGGTCTCCAGGGGCATGCGGAGGATCGCAGAGGGTCGGGACCCCCTGGAAGGGCAGAAGCACCGCTGTGGCATGGGCAACATGTTTGACTACCACAGCACAGGCTATGAAGACCTGGACGAGCTGCAGCGAACACCACAGCCCCTCATCTTCATCATGGAGTTGTTCAGGGTAAGGGGGATGGTGGGGCTAGCTGCCAGCGTGGGCACAGCCAGGGTAGGCAGCTCAGGTCCCACTGCCTGTGCAGGTGGAGGAGCCCTCAGCGTACAAGCGTGACACCTGGGCCATGAGCAAGGAGGAGAAGTTGGCGGCAGTGCCTGTGCTGCACAGCGAAGGCAACCGCCTCGTCCTCCGCAAGGAGTTTGGGCAGGCAGCGGCGAAGTACCAGGAGGCTGTCATCTGCCTGAGGAACCTCCAGGCCAAGGTGAGCAGGACCCGGCCACCTCCTCTCATCCTTACCTGGGTCTCTTCAGCAAAGCCCTGTGGGCCCTAGGTGCCCAGGAGGGGACAGACACAGCTGTGAACCGCCCACTGTGGCTCCCTGGGGCAGGAGAAACCATGGGAGGATGGCTGGCTGAAGCTGGAGAGCCTGGTCACACCATTGGTCCTCAACTACTGCCAGTGCCAGCTGGAGCTGGGCGAGTACTACGAGGTGCTGGAGCACACGACGGAGCTCCTCCAGAAACACAACGGTACCCATGCCCTGCATCCCACCCCCCAGCTGTGCCCACAGCCCCCAGGGACTCTGTCCTCTGGATCCCCTATCCATGACAATGGTCATCCCATGTCCCTCTGCCTGTGATGGTACACCTATGTCATCTGGATCCCCCTGTCCAGTGCAGAACCCATGTCCCAGATCTTCCTGCCCATGATGTTGCCTGTGTTCCTGGTTTCCCCTGCCTACAATAGCACCTGCACCCCATGTCCTCTAGGTCCCCCTGCCCATGATGTTGTCCCATATCATCCAGACCTGCTGCCCACCATGGTTCCCCTTGCCCACAGTGATCCCTGTCCCCCATGTCCCCTGGTGCTCACGGTGGTACATGCATGTCCCAAAGTCCACCTGCCCATGATGGTAACCCTAGCTACAAATATGTTCACCCCATCTTCTCCTGCTCATGATGGTACCTGTGCTCTGTGTCCCCTGGGTTCCCAGGGTCTCTAGCTCCTGTGGCTGGTGGCCCTGAGCTGCAGGACCCCCACCGGGGGCTCTCCTCTCCCGGCAGACAACGCCAAGGCCTATTTCAAGCGGGCAAAGGCCCACGCTGCTGTCTGGAATGAGCGGGAGGCACGGGAAGACTTCCTGCGGGTGGCTCACCTGGACCCCTCCATGGCGGCCGCCGTGAAGAAGGAGCTGAAGCAGCTGGGGGAGAGGATGAGGAAGAAGCATGTGGAGGATCGGAAGCGCTACCAAGGGCTCTTCCAGCAGCCCCGGGGGCCACAGGCCAGTGAGGGGCAGCAGAGTGGGGAGGTGGGCAACGGGGCAATGCTGCAGGAAGAGGCACTCCAGGGTGAGGTTGGGGTCCCGAAGACCCCTGGGCAGGGGGAGCAGGGTGCAGGGACCGAAGAAACAGAACAACCAGGGGCTGACCAAGGAGAACAAGGGACCCCCGGGGTTGAGTGTAAAGGAGCAGTACCAGGAGGAGAAGCAGCCCAGGGGCAGCTGGCAGGGGTGGAGGTGGAAGGGAGGGATGGGGCAGGACTGGGGGAAGAAGCAAACCTGGGCAGCTGTGGGACAAAGCCAGAGAGCTGGGGAGCAGAGAGGGGGGCAGAGGAGGAAGGTGAGAACGAGGAGGGGGAAGAGGAGGAAGAAAAAGAGGATGAGGGGGAAG